AAGCAAAAAGAAAAAAGCCGGAAGTGGCGCTGTGGCTCAAGTGGTAGAGCGGTAGCCTTGAGCTGAAGAGCTGAGGGACAGCGCCCAGGCCCAGAGTTCAGTCCTCACAACCGGACCCAAAAAAAAAAAAAAAAGCTTCATGTGGCAGAAGAGCTGGAGAAGGGGGAGGGGGCAGGACTGAAGAGGAGGCCAAGAAGCAAGCTCTGGCCTCAGCACAGCAAAGCAGGGTAGAGCACCTGGTACAGCTAAGTCCAGCTGCCCAGTGTAAATCCTAGCCTGCTGCAGCTTACCTGAGATGGATAAAAATAGCAAATGCCAGCTCTGGTTGGGTCGCCTTCCTCCTTTACCTTGGAGCCATCATAAAGAAGAAAATAATTCCACCTGGCAAGAGAGCAGAATGGAGCCATGATCCCTGAGCCAAGGACAGCAGCCTCGCCCAGCAGGGCTCCGGGTGCGAGCCTCCTGGAGGGCTGGGAGAGAAACCGGGAGCCACTAGACAACCAGGCTCCATAGTGCAGGAGAGGCAGACGGAAAGCCCGCCTCTTCCGGCTGCAGGAGAATGTCGGGACGTCCACTTCACCTCGCAGCCGCGTGGCCTGGTGTGCGTCCCTCAGCTCTGATAAGGAGGGCGGTCACCAGTCAGCTGTGCTCCTGGCAGCTGCTGGCACTGGGGCTGCCGCACCTGCCATCCAGCAGGAACCCCTGCTCTCATGTGGCCCTTCATGGAGGGCCATGGGCTCTGCTGTCTGTCCAGGCACATTGGGGTTCAAACATGGGCCCCCAAAAGGCCCTGCCACTGGAGCCCCACCTCCAGCCACACATGCGATGTCCATGAAGGGTACTGAGTCAATAGTGGGGAGGGGGGAGATGGGTTTTTCAGAGTTTACAGGGAACACCAAACTCGTCTCTGAACATCAAGACCTTCCTTGGCCTGCACTCTGTTTCCTGGAGGAATCTTCCTCCTGACTTCCCTCCTTTGTTTCTCAAGACCTTTTTCACCTTATTGTTTGAAACCGGGGCTCACTGTATATCCAGGCTGCCTCAGATTCTCCATCCTGCTACCTCCACCTCCCAGGTGCTGGGACTGATTACAGGCATGCACCACTACATCTACCTTCCTAGACTTCTTACAGGCCACATCGGTACAATGATAATCACTACTACTCAGTTTCTCATTAAGTATATTCCATTTCACTCTCCGAAAGCATAAGGCTCAGGCAGCAGCATACAGCAGGGGCGGGGAGACAGCACTGGGACCACTCTGTCACTGGCATCATGTTCAAGTGCATTTGTGCCCTGCCCACCCCTCCCACCTCAGCTTCCTAGTGACAAGCACCACCTCCAGCAGGATCCAGTTCCTCAAAGTCTAAGGCCAGAGGTGCAACTCACTGTAGGGCCAGGCACATGTAAAGGGCTCCCCTCCTTTCCCTCTTCCCCCTTCCTACTTCCTAGGGGAAGCCCCTGCGCCCTTCTAGGCAGG